ATATAATATATACAGATACACACATATGCACATACACATATACACATGCTTATAGACACACATACACACATGCACTCATATACACACACACATAATACACAGATACATACATACACACGTACACACATACATGCATACATATCTCTCAAAACACACAAATATAGATACATATATTATTTTAATACCAAATACAAAAACATAATTATACAAAATCATGCTATAATGTCAATTCTACATGCATGCCATTTCAGGTTGCCACTGTGTGCACCGCCCTTGGCTTTTTCGTGTCGTGTGTCACGTCAATATTGGGTCAACATAACCGAGCCATAATTATTATAAACACTTTTTTGACTTTTCCTTGATCCAACTCAAAGCTCCTGCTTGCAATAAATAGGAGAAATGCAACGCACATGGAGAGAAAATTTCGATCGATATTCTTTGTAACATTATGTCTTTACGTTCGGCTGAATACATTATTATACAATGTAGGGATCTTAAGGTTTGTTATCTGTCTACCTATGGTTACACACTCGACATCCAAACATGTCAGGCACGTGTATATGTACCGTGAGAGATACGAACCTATTACATAAAGGCTCATTCCTTTACCCACCAAACCACCCTTTCCATATATTATTATCCTCCTCCCCCCCCGCCCCCCGTCCTCCATGTGCATCCACTCCATCCAAATGTTCGACCATGGACAACGATTGATAAATCTTACTTGACCATCGATATCAACAGCATTTTCAAATTGCTTACCAGCCAACGATATGACACTGATACCAGTCGCCTGTCTAGCTTTCGTAATCGAAGTTCTAAGTGTATAGGTCAATGATTGTGCCCTATGAACTTTGATGGACGTTCGTTTATGTCATACCTTTTATTTATTGAGGTGTCATAAAATTATTTTGACTTTATCAAGAAGGAAGAGAAGTCATATACATTGCCAGAGACCACACACGGCTAATGTAGCAAAGAGAGATCTGTAAAAGAAAGAAAAGCAAGCAACTTGTAACAGTTCAACTAAATTCTAGCGTGATCTTTTAGTTTTAGTAGAGGTTTTACGGCGCTCGCAACTGCATAAGGTCATATGAGCGCCAAGGGTGATCTTTAAACTTACACGTTTGGTTTTCAAGGTCCACACGTCGAAGTGTTTGTATTTTGTTAGAATATGCGGCTTTTGCTTCTCCATGGAGGAAAATCCGACCGGTCTCTACTGAATTATACTACAGTGTGCCCAATGGGGGATCGCCTCGCCGGTCGCCCGACTCGTCGTCTGAAAAAAAAAAAGGTTTTGTTTTTGAGGCGACGAGTCGGATCGGGCGATCGGTTTATGCCACGATAGCCGCTTCGCGCCCTCAGTCTGGCTAGCTAACCGAACCAAACCGAACCGATCGGGCCAATGGGCACAGGGTATAAGAGTCCAAAAGGGAGTGCGCGCCAGTTGTGTGCGCTGAGTATCAGACGAACAGTGATCCCAGTGAATGTTATAATCCCTCTACGCCAATAAGATCTTTTGTAGAGCAAGTCTTTAAAACTCAGAGAGTTGGAGAGGGTGGTTTTGCAAGTACTTCAGAGTGGTGGCCTTCTTTCCTATTAAACTTCTGTCACCCTTCTCTCTCTCTCTCTCTCTCTCT